TTTAAAACAGTATCAAACATAACGAAATTTAATTAATAATTTATGCCTATTAACAAAATTAACAAAACAAGTAAAATGGTTAACAGCGATAACAAGAAATCAGTATGACCAAACCGGCATTGTTTAAATACTGTCAGTTGTCACCTTTTATTATATTGTGTATTATAACAACTTTAGTCCACGGTCAGCTTAGAAGATATCTTCATTTAAATTATTATCATAGATTATAGCACATTATACATAGATAATAAAGAATGGATAGGCCATTCCTATACTTTTAACGTAAAGTGCCGCGGTCCTAGAGAGCAGATATATCTCTGTCTCATAAAAGTGCTATATTACCCAAATGGTTGTTGTGGTTACTTATGTGGTTAATAAGAGTTTTTATCGTCAATGTGATAATATCTTTAAGTGGAATACTAGAATCAAAACTGGAAGTAAAAGTGTATTCATGGAATAAAAAAAAAAAAGCACTTTATGTTATTGTGTCCGGGAACGTATGATAAGGGAACATGGCCTATCCATTCTTTATTATCTATGACATTATAGTAATATACAATTATCTATAGTCATTATCACAGCTGTTGATTATAGTCAATAATCTAAGACCGTGATTATAGTATATCTACAACCGTGGTCATTATTACGAATTAAGATAATGCTATCTTAAATGGTGAAAATGATTAATGATTATTATCAATTATCATGTATTTATAATTTATAAATTATTTTTATACACATTTTGTAATGTTTATTTTTTATTCCAAAACGAAAATTAGTTTGAAATTAAATTCCAGAATTTCATGCAAATTCCCTGACTATTCCATGTTATCCCTGACTTTTTTAAATTCCCTGACTATTCCAGGTTTTCCAGGTTTCCAGAACCCGTGGCAACCATGTTCTTCATAAGGATTAAGGATAGAAAATTAGCAACTTGGTAAAAGTCATGTGTCTCTATTTACTGACAGATATTCTAATTTGTAGGTTATAACTTATATTAAACAATATCGTTATAATAAATTAAAATAATGCATTAATAAGTACATTATGCAGTATTAATTAATATTTTTAAAACATGTTGGCAATACCGTTAATATGGTCTAGGGCCATTAATAAATTATGTTGGCAACAATGTTCTTCCATGATATTATCAGGAATATTAGATTTTGGAAGAACTGTTCTGAGACCGTTTTGGTCCTAGTTCGCGCTGGTGGTCACACTGCTGTTTTCATCGTTAATGCAATTTGGTTGTATATTCCTTAGAAAAAAAAACATATTTCATCGTTTTTTCCAATGACCACCAGCAAAACTGCGCGGCGGATAAGGTGCTGACATACCTTGTTAGTTCTATCATGGTCACGCGCATGCAGAATGACCGGCAGCGACGGTGTGGAGCCCAATTTTCATCACTAATCACTATGTGCCGGAATGCCGCAATCGTCGCAATTGCCGACTGACACAGACAGTCGCTGAAACCATGACAAAATATATATATTTGGCTTCATAGCTGAAACGCTGTGGTTGGTTGAGTGGGAGATGCGTGAAATCGGACGAGTTTTGGTCGAATAGCAGTAGTTGGCAGTACTGATCTCTCGACTCTCGTAGGCCGGACTGTCTGAGTGTAGTGCTTGCATAAACATGTTTTCCATGCTGGACCACGTATTAGGTTAGTGACGGACAGAATATAAATTGTTTGGTCCTGTCTCCTGTGCTGCTAAGAAGCATCCGGTCTCCCGAGCGTCAAAGTATCTACGATCTACGCAACTATTATAATATATTTTCGGGTTCTCAAATTCTATGTCCTCGAGACTCGATCTCTCGTTATTCAAGAGTCATCAAACAACATAACGACAATCCACGTTATGATCAGTCGAATGTCGATCAGTGTGACATGACGCCATGAGCCACTGCTTGTATCAGCAATCTTGAAATTTCGTAAGTATTTCCATTTTTTCGCCCACCTTGAGCAGGTATGAATTTGGCATAATTCTAGTTTAGCGCCCACGCGAATTTTTCGATTTTTTTGTCGCAAACCTATGTATTGCGACGAATTTAAAACAATGGTGTAAAAATTAGTTTGCGGAAATGATTATTTTGGAAGTTACAGCCTTCCAAAGTTTGCGATTTTACGTTTATACGCATGCGCGCAACACTACTATAAGCGCAGTGACGAGTGCCGCAAGACGTGTTATCACTATACATACTATACAACATAACTTTATTTGTCTGAATACAGTGTGTTTATAGATTATAATATAAACTGAAAACTTAGATTAGGTAAATTAGCCATTTACATTGGTGCCATCATTTGTAAAACGTTGATTTATCTAGGTCATCCGGGCAGGTGTGCTCTCTCCCCCGCGACCTGAAGGGGTCGCCACCCCTCTCCCCAGATTTGCTATTTAATCCCCAGGGTGTTTGGGGGCCGAGCCCCCATCCAGCGAGAAGTCTGCAGGACCTCGAGTTTGGCGACCGGAGCCGATAGGTGACGGGAGCGAGGTCCCTTGAGTTTGAAGACCAGAGAGAGCGTAAAATCGCAAACTTTGGAAGGTTGTAACTTCCAAAATAATCATTTCCGCAAACTAATTTTCACACTATCGTTTTAAATTCGTCGAAATACATAGGTTTCCGAAAAAAAAATCGAAAAATTCGAGTGGGCGCTAAACTAGAATTGTTCCATGAATTTAATTAAAGCTTTATTTAATTTCAATTACATGTTATATATAATTACGGCTGTCATATCGATGGTGACACGGCAAAAGGGTCTAAGCGACACGGCTGATACTCTTGAGTCTTGGATAGAAAAATATATCTTACGTCCATTGCGCGTGCTCAAAATCAGCTGTGACCATTATAACAACGAATATTTGAATTTTAAATTTGGGGTCTAAACGACACAGTCGACACTTTTATATTTGTCTTCTGTAATAAAGGGTCTATACGACAACAATAGGGAATAAACGACATTAGCACAATATTTTAGGGGACAAGCGACGTTTATGCGTGGTGTCATTGTACACGAATTTGTACGACTCAGACTAGATCATTCAGTTTATTTATTCAATTTTTATTTTTTACCTAAGTTTTAACTTTTAACAAAGGAATAGTAATTATTTATTTTAATGATTAAAAATGTAAGTAGTTTTTTATTTTAACCATTGTTTTATAGATTTAAGTACAAAGTCAAGTCTAGAAATAAGTTATTTTTTATTATTTGTTTTCATTTAAGTTTGAAGAAAAGGTTAAATTTTATGTTATGTTCTAAAGAATTACAATTTTTTTTTCGTTATTTTCATCATAATAATATTTTAATAAAGATTCATATTTTTTTTTGCAGAAAATATTTGTGTACATCTTATTTTAAAAAAACATGTGAAAATGACGTGATATTTTAATATTATTTTATTGGTCTGAAATAAAAATAGTAATCACTATAAATTACAATAATACAATGGCGATAAATGCACAGGCAAATGTAGAAAAAAATTAGGGCATAAACGCCGTAGATAAATAGTGTAAAAAAAAATAGGGCATAAGCGCCAAAATATTGAACAATTTTTTTCACATTGCCGTATGCACATAAATAATAATCAAAAACTTATTAAAAATATGAATACACATGAAGGAGATACAAACAAAAAAAAATATTCTACAAAATAATACCCTATTCTTACTATAAAAAAAGTTATAGCTTATCTAGAAAAAAAAAAATTATTAAAATCACAAAAAAAAGTTTTTCGGCTCTCCTGAAAATAATGAATTATGCCGCTTAGACCCTTTTGCCGTTTCACCATCGATATAGTGCGTATTTACACTTTTTGCGTCCTGTGTTAACAATATTTGCACCACTAAGGTTATTGGGGGGGGGGGGGCACCAAAAAATACAAAATTAATCTGGTTTTCAATTGTTTAGTTGTAGTTCTTTATTTTATGAAAATTTTGTTAAAACACAGATCACGATGATACATTACTTAAATTATTGTCGAAATGTATAACAACATGCAATTGTAATCTATAAGAAAAATTACAAAGATTAATAGTTATCATTGATTGACAAAATGAGTAAATTATGCTAAATGGCCGTATCATAGTCATGCAATGCCAAAAGTCCAAGTATAGGTACTCAAACAAATTCTTTCCAAAAAAAAAAATCTTATTTATATAATATACACCGCCGCCTGGCCGCTCCCCTAAATGTTTCAAAAATTGGCCGCCTGGTGCAAATGTCTCCGTTGCCCTGGGTCTACCTATAGCGGGCTGATTTTGGGACGTCACTTTTTGCTCCACACTATAATTTTTTCTACATATTATTTTGGCACTCACGCAGTCACACTCAATAGGGCAAAATATATTTTTTTAATCATAAGTAGTAATGAATCAACCACACATTTTTTTAATAAATAAAAATGTTTTAGCAAACAATGAAAATGCCCAATGTACTAAATGTGGAAGTGAGATGAATTTGTACATACGTTAGGAAAGAAAGAAGAATTTTACAGTACATTTTCTATTTTCTAAGAATTTTTTTTAATTTGAAAAGCATTCTCCAACAAATGTTTGGCATGCTTGGCATTATCTAGATATGTCTTTATTTCTAAGACTCGCAATTGTATTAATTAATTGATTGATTTAATGTAGTGTCTGGACCTAAAGCCAAACTGGGTATTATGAATAATTTGGTGCTAGTGTAAGATAGGTAGAATTTGAAGGAGAATTCATATTTCAAACAATTTTATTTATAAATAAATGCAATATACCTATTTTGATTAATGTATTAATTTATTTCAAGGTTTCCATAACAAAACAAACCATTTCTGACACGCTGGATAACTGCATTGGGAATATGTTGGAGTATGTAGAGTTAATTTAATTTATCAATCAACGCTTAAAATAATCAAATTTATGTTTCTACTCAATCGTTTACTATTGATATTGATTTAGACCAAACAGTTAATTATCCCTGTAAAATAAATACCAATACATATCCCAATAAAATAAATATGAGCAGAAATATTATTTCAAGAAGAAAAAAACGAACTTTAGGATCAACTCATCAGTACAGACATATAATTACTGAAGATGTTTCAAAAACCTATAGACAACTTGAAGAAACATCTAGAAGACTACAATCAAAACTTAATGATATGGTGTCTAAAGCACGGCTGATACAAGATATTGAGTGCAGATATTTAGCACTTAGAGAAAAAGTTGCTGATACAGAACATATGTTATTGCTTAATGGTATAGATACATCAGAATATCCACTATTTCGTGAAATAATACCCGAAAATGAAGAAGATCGAGATACCGACTGTGAAATTATTGATGACATTTAATTTGAAATATTTTAGAACAGCTAAGAAGAATAAAAACAAATAAAAAAAAACAAGAAATTGTTAATTTATCATATTTTAAATTTATAATAAATAGGTGTGTACCTACTAATTTATTATTTTTTAATTTGAGTAAAAATCAGTACCTAGTTTCAAAAATAATAATTGACAGTTATATAATTGATTACAACGTTTTGTTATAAAGAGTACAATGGTGACAGGATGGCAACCATAAATTGTAGTAAACATGTATTCATGTTTATTATACCATTTTTAAATAAAGCTTGATTTGTATAACTTATTTCTCATGAACATAGATTTATATTTATATTTACAAAATTGTCTTTATTTATTTTAGGTATATTATAACTACCTTTTAAGAGGATTCTACACACGCATGTGTTGTCTCTGTCTTACAAATATACAACAGTAAAAACTGCTTTGCGCCGGATAGAACCACTTAGGCTGTAGTGATAGTTAAGACTGATATACAATACTGTTCAGAATATTTATCTGTGAAATATTGTTTTCATTTTTTAGATATCACTTATACGAAAAATAAGAATGATATTTTACAGCTTAAGTTCTCCTTTTTATGTGATGAAAATTTTGGTTCTTAGTTATTAATGTAGTCTTTTTGGTTCTTTCCTGCGCAAAAAATGTTTGCTGTATTACATTTGTAAAACGGAGATAACACATGTGGGTGTAATGTCCTAATAATTAAATTTACTAATTAGGTACTATTCAATGTTTGTATTATGTATATTTATTATGATGTATTATAGTATAAGATGTGTTAGATAATATGAATGATATGAAATTTAGATCTTAAGACATCATTAATATTTTACTCAGATACATATTCAAATTAGTCTTTACTTAAGAGGATACCACACCTGCATGTGTTGTCTGTATAACAAAAGTACAACATAGCAAATTTTACATTAACAGTAATCCATTTTACTCTGTTATTTTTAAAATTAGAGTAAATTGAATTTTATTAATATTATAAAATGTTAATATTTTAGTTCAAAGAGAGTAAAAAAAATTACATCTTTATATTGTATTAAATTACCTACCTACATCAATTGTATCTTGCCGTAGTCCAGTAAAAGTAGTTTTGAACTTTTCTTCTCTTATACTCATTAAAAAACTTATCAAGGACACATAATATAAAAACATTGCAATTTTATACTTTAACTGGCTTAATATAAGGCAAGTAACAAATACTTTTTTTTCCCTTTATCATTATATACACAATCTGTACCAATAAGAGTATTAGCTGAGATGAATAAAATACATGAATAAGCATGATAAAAGCAGCCACCCAGTGATGACACTTAAAAATTGAGGTTATACATTAAATTATATATAATTACATATGAATTTATTTATTTGTTTTTTTTATATTATAATATTAAGTTAGCATATCTCTACACCAGTTGCGTTTTAAACGCCTTGGAGAACAAACACTTAATTTATTAAAGCGATGGACAAATTGTCAGATCAATATATTTTAAATAATATGATTTACCTACTGTAGTTGAGTTTTAGATTTGCAAAATGTACAAATTTAATTACCCACCTATCCTATTGATTATAGAATAGGTACCAATAGAACAAAAATTAACATTTACTTACATGATTACTGATTCAATATTCATCTATTTTTGAGTGGCCAGAAAGAGAAAGATAAAGTCCTTGAATCTATCACGACTGTAATTTGTCCGTTGTAAATTATTGTAATTTGTCCTTCTATTTCATCCTTTTTTTTCTTGTAAGTATTAGTATTTAATGGATTTTGTTCTTCTGTTTTAAAAAATGATTAACATTATTACATCTATAATCCAAGTAGTTGTTATAACTTATAACAGAACTGTACAGTGAATAAATTTTGTAACTATTTATTACGGTGATATTCATACGTTATTTTAACTTCAATTACTGTATAATTTTCTCTTTAATTTGTGTAATAAATCATATAACTTATTATAGCAGAAAAAACGTAAATTAGTATGTTGTTTATTTCTTTGAATATCACCGTAATAAATAGTTACAAAAATGTCAATGTTTAACAATCCTAAAATAATTATTTTCAGAGTTACAATCAAAAAGCTGAAAATCGAGCGCATTTTTTTTTTTTTTGATTGGCTGTAACTTGGTCAATTTTGGACTTAAAAAGTTGATTCAACTACCAAAATTCATTAAAAAATAGGCAAAAAATAATTAGTGGTTAAAGCAGGGGGTTGCCATTAAAAAAAAAAAAGTTGACATGCGCATGCGCGTGACTAGTTAAGTAAAAAAAATTCAAAGACCATAAAAATGTGTATTTTTATGTCATAACAACTGCCAAAGAAACGGAATTCAAATAGCAGGTCTCTACGCAAAGATATTGAGTGTTCTCGATTACCGTTTACACATTGTAGAAAATGAAAATATAAACATTCAGTAAAATTTTAATATACCTATCTACAGTTATTCGTTTTTGAATAATAACAAAATAGCAAAATCGGTACCATGAGAAATGGAGTAAATAGGTATCCAATAGGTATTGTAAAAATATGAACTTCAAACGCTCATAAAAATTTAATTTGATTTGCTTGAAGACACTTTTTTTTATAAAGATAGACGAACTTATGAATAATCTTGTATTAAATTTTTAAATCTTAGATTTAAAAAGAAAAAGGTGCTCTGCTGTATGCCTGTATAGTAGGTTACAGGTGGGTCACTGTATAATGGATGGTATTAAATTTGAATTCAATGATATAATAGTATCATATAAAAAAATAATATCATTGTATAAGAAAAATGATTCCGAGCGCAGACGGTATGTCAGTCTAGGTATAAGACATATTATATACTAATCTATGATATTAAAAAAAATTGACCTATAATAGGTACCTATAAATCTATAATAAATTCCAAATTAATCATATCACAATATTCATTAGGTACTTATAACGATAGTTATACCTACATCAATAACAAACCGTGATACTATCATCGACATATAGTAGTATACTTTAGAAATTTAAAGTACATTTATGTAATTTCGTCCAAATTTGAACTTAAAATGACAATAAAATAAAACTGTGCTTATGTGTTTTTTTAGATTTTTTGGTTACAGAATTAACTACTTAGGTGGAATCGTGTTTCAAATTTTCAATCCTTAGATATAAAATTTGAATATTTTATAAATTTTTAACTACAAAATACCTAATTACCTATTCAATTTTAAATTTGATAAATGTTGTCGAAATTCGATCTTTAAGTCCTTATAAAAAAAAAAATTGTGCCTATGTATTTTTAATATTTTTCAACTGATGTTGTAACAATAAATCAGGAGCCTTGTATTAAAATTTAACACTTTTTGACCCAACAGATAAAACTTATTGATATTTATAGAAAAAAAAAACGAAAAAAAATGAAAACTGAAAATGTCCGTAAAAAGCAAAAAATATTTTCAAAATTGCATGGTTTATAGGAAATGGTAATAAAATCATTCAGGGAAATTTTAATGTACCTATCTACAGTTATTCGTTTTTGAATTACAATAAAATATGAAAATCGAGTGAATATCCAATGTTGTAAAAATTTGAATTTCAAACGCTCATAAAAATTTAATTTGACTTTCTTATAGTCTTTTTTTTTTGATAAAAGTAGATAATCTTATAAGTAATCTCGTATTACATTTTAAAATCGTAGATTTAAAAAGAAAAATTTTTACGAATTCTTAACTCAAAATAATTTGCTAATTTTCGTGTTTTTTCCATATTTTATCAATTTTTGAACTTTAAATGCTTATAAAAAAAAACTGTGTCTAAGGATTTTTATTATTTTTCATCTGCCTTTGAATTTTGAAACAATGTACTAGGAGCCTTCTATTAAATTTTTAAGCTTTTTTAACCAACAAATAAAATTTTATTGATGTTTTTAGAAAAAAAACTAATAAAAATAGGAAAATTAAAATGATTCTAAACAGTTCAAAACCAATCATCATATTTCAAAAAATATTATCATGTATAGAAAATGCAAATATAAACAACCAGTAAAAATTTCATGCATATACATTCATTTGTTTTAGAGTTACACCAATAACCAAAATCAATTTTCTCAAAAACAGATTTTGCCTAAAAATTCCTGTTTTTAATTGATTTTTCTTTTGTTTTTCACGTCGCTTTTGAAAACTACTGGGAAATTTTTACTTTTGACCCCCCAAAGTACCAACTAGATTCGCATTCCTATCAGAAAAGATAGGTACTGTTGAAGAAAATCCAAGCACTTTTACTGTCCTAAAAGGTAATGACGGACACAAAAATAAAAAAAGAAAAACACACATCATTGTAAAATCAATACATTCATCGTTCCACTCAGAATCTAAAATTTTTATGAATTCTCAACTCAAAATAATTTGCTAATTTTTGTATTTTTCAGTATTTTGTCAAGATTTGTACTTTAGATGCATATAAAAAAAAAACTGTGACTAAGGATTTTTAATGCTTTTCAAATGTCATTGTAATAGTATAAGTAGGAGTAAAACAGTATAGAAGCTTTGTATTAAATTGTCAAGCCTTTTTACAAAACATAAAGTTTTATTGACATCCAAAGGAAAGATAAAAAGACTAATAAAATTGGAAACTGAAAATGTTCTTAAACAGTTCAAAACAAATCAAAATATTTTTAAAATTTTATCGTGTATAGAAAATGCAAATATAAACAACTAGTGAAATTTTCATGTATATACGTTCATCTTTTTTTCAAAGTTACACCAAAAACCAAAATCGATTTTGTCAAAAACCCAATTTGCTTAAAAATCCCCGTTTTTCCATAATTTTTCAAAACTATTGAGAATTTTAAAATTTTACCTCTCGAATGTCGGATTGCACCAACTAGATTCACTTTCCCATCAAACAAGATACTGTTAGTTATATCATGATGATTATGAATATGATTATGATTATTATTATTTATTAATTATTTCTATTATCAGTATTATCTTAACAGTTTTATGCTTCGACTTGCGCGTCAGTAAGTTACGATCGAAGACGGCGCGCGGCGATTGCAGCGGTGGTTGAGTACTTGACGTGTCTGACGGTGGTGTAATATTGATAAGACGGTCGTTGATAATTGTTATGTGCGCATCTATTATCAATATTATCATTAAATTATTCCAATCATTTAAATTTGAATTTTTTCGCGGATAATTTACGTAACGTCTACGGGTCCCCGGTCGCGCGTCGCTGTCACCGTTTCCGGTAAGTACAAATTCGATTTTTCGCTGTTGGCGTCCCGAACAGCGGTCGGCTACGTTCGTACGCCGATGCTGCCTTTGTCTCGATCATTGTCACTGCTGTCGTCGCGGCTTTTGCAGTCACTAGACCGACCTGACTTGATGACGACACTCGTCTTTCTGTATATTTTATGCTCACATGTGCTTATCCAGATGGTGAACGGCTGCGAGATGAACGGGACGGCCGTGGTGGACTCGGACGTGACGGTAGGACCGTCAACGTCGTCCGCTAGGTCCAATAAGCGTCGTGTACGTGGCACCACCAGCCGCACGGTCACCTTGCAAATGCTGTTGGAGACGAACATACTCGAGCCGGGAAACTCTGTCTTGTCACTCGAGTACATGGTACATGGAACAATCTTTGCCATCCATCATCCTGTCGAGCGGCATGCGCTTGCTCATAGTTGATCTGCATGGTTTTTATTTCCTTTCGTATTCGTCCATTTGATTACGGTTAATTACATTGGGTATAACACCTATCTGCAGTAGCTTTTGATTATGATGTTTCAATAGGAGTATGTTGTGTTTATACTGTATTGCTATTTAATTTATTTTCTTTTTCTGTGGCACAAGTTTGAACTTAAAAAAGACATATCGATTATGCATAATAATTATGTACTTATTATTGATAGAAATGTATTCCTTGTTGTGCTCTCATTCAATAATTTTTATTTTATTTTTATTTTTGAGCTTATTATTGCTGTGTGAGTAAACTGTCAAAAGGATTGAATATTTTTATTCCTGTTTTGAAATTGTGTTGAAAAGTAATTTGATTTAAGGATATATTAAAACAAGAAGTAAGAATTAAATGTAAGTTATGACTTTTTCTTTTGTTTTAAAATTATTTTAAATCGTAATTTTTTACAGGATTTTTAGTTTATATAATTTTGAAACCATCTAATTAATTTTTTTTCTTAGGGTCAACGATTTGTGGGAGATTTATTACCAGATGGTAAAATACGATCAGTTGAGACATTAAATGAATTTGCATCTCCTAGTGCATGGGCCTATAATTGTAAAAGTATAATTAACAAAATAAAAAAAGCTGGCTGTGGTTGGTCATCAGTAAGTACAATCTATAATAAATACATTAAATAGGTACATTCCTTAAAATCTAATAAAATTCTTTCTTACCCAAGTAGTTAAAATTAATAATACTATATTGTTCACTAAGTTTTTAGTATTTTTGTTTTTATTTTGATACTTATTAAGAAATTATTGCTTTACCTAATTTATATTTATTTAATAGAAAGAATACAGTTCATCTCAAGTAAGATGTTCTTATTATATAGATATACAACAATTTATAGTCCAAATTATTTCAACTTTGATAAAAAAGTTATTTATTAATCAATCATTCAATTAAGTTTTTTATACACAGTTAATAATTATTAATTTCTCTGTGTTTAAATCTTTAAAAAGTTTTTTTAGATTAGACATCAGTTTAATTTACTTTGAATTCATGGTTTATGAAAATAAATTAAATGTAGATACATTAGGTATTACTAACCTTTTTAATATCTTAGATTTAATCCAACCATAAGCAATATGAATTCATCGTATTATTTCAGCTTTCATTTTAATAATTTATATAGGTAGTATACCTATAATGGTTTAGAGAATAAGTGGTCTACACTGAATTCCCATTACTAGAATAGAATTTATTTTAGTTATTTAGGCAACAAATACTGAAATACGAGTATCTATAAGATTAATATTGTGTAGAATTTAGCTTGTTGGGATAATGCCATTTATAGATATTAATTTCAAAGTATGGGACAAAACACTATGTCTATACTCTATATTCTATAGTCAATAGGGGAGTGGGAGGGTTGAGTGGATGAGACCATAATGTCATACTTTCCATTGCAATAAATATATTCAACCAAGTATCTGGTGTCTAATACTATAAAAATCAATGGTTCTAAATTATAGTAACTTGATACTTTTTTGTTGTTTATCATGTTATCCATTTAGTTACACATGCTTCATTGTTAATAACAATGAAGCATGTTCTCTAAAGTATAACAATTTGTTATACAATACAGTTTTAATTGTCAGTATGAAATAGCCGAACCAAATAAATAAATATATTGCCAGTTGCTTTTGGTTCTCTAATGTGTTTACTTTAGTGAGAAACAGTTTTAGATGTATAGGTGTCCTCCCTAAATAAATTACATTATTTTCTAAGAATACTATCTAATAAACTGCTGTAATGCTATGGTTGAAAAAAAACTAGTTTAGCATTATAAAATCAAATATTTTACTAAGGCTGGGATTTTGATCTAGCAACATGATGCTCGTTTTATAACATACACGTTTCATGTACAGTAGAACCTCGATTATGCAAACTAATTGGGACCGCACATATTTCAGATACGCAAAAGTTAGAATACTGGAAATTGTTTAAAACAACATTATAATAACAAGTATTATAAAGTAATACTTTTTTTATTATTCCATAACAATTTAATTAAAACACATGTTAATATACATAATTTCATTTGTCTTATCCTTATTAATTGTTAGTAAAATATAATATTGTAGCTACAAGCCTGCAACAATCATTAGATGTATTGAAAAAACTCGTTCAGGCGCGTAGCCAGAATTATTTAATAGGGGGGGGGGTTGTTTCAATTTAATATTTCAATAGAACTTGTGCCCTCCCCTGGTTGTATTAAAATATTTTTGGATTATATGTCCGATGTGGTGGTGGTGGGGGGGGGGGGTGTTTTAATGCCCAAAATATCCTCCCTAGATATACCCCTGAATCGTGTGTTAATTTTTCGTCATGATTAATGAACTAAAATAAATTACTACTATAACACCAAGTATATGCTTTACTATACCTTATTCAAAATATGAGAGCACCAGTTTGAGAATGCATAAATGATGCTAGAATGGTAAAGGCAGCTGTGTAAACTCAAATTTATCCCCAAAAATCTATTGCAATCCACATGGTTTATTTATTTTATTTATATTTTAAAAGGTTAAAATATAGCTCTAAAAACAACATTTGTTTACTATTATTATAACTTATAACTTTATTAATTTATAAATTATAATTTAAAATTTAATAAAATATAGGTTCTTATACTTTGTTCCAAAATAGTCAATAGATGACACTAGATTTACGTAACAAAACCGGTTTTGGTTGTGGCCACCTGGTGTCTTCTCTTTTGGAACAAAGTATAGTATTAAACAGACATTTTCAAATTTGAATTAGTTATTTTTAATTTATAGATTCGATATAAAGGAAAGAAATTGGATGCATACAAGCATGCATATTTTAGAAAAAGAGAATCATCTAATGTAGAGCACAATATAGTTCCAGGTAAGAATTTAAATATTTAATATTTTAGTAGGACTTAAATTGACATTTACATATTTATTTTTATAAACAAAATTTGATTTTGTTTTATTGTTAAAATTAAATTAATATTTTCCTTATATTGATAAATATAATAAAGGTTCAGTGGTGTCAAAGTTTTTAAAATGTTGTTGGCAATTTCAAAACTGCTGCCCATATCTTTTTAGAAAATTAAAATATAGTAAAAAACAATAGTACAAACACAAGTATTGTTTTTCTTTAAGTTCTCCTAATAAGTTAATTTACTTTAAAATGTAAAGTTATGAACATAGAATTGGTGTCTGAACTCAAATTTGCTATGTGGTATGTATTTACAAGGAAGACAACACTGAACACATGCGGATGTTCTATCACCGTCAGGATAATATTCTTCATATATTTACTTCTTTTATTTAAAACAAGGTGCTATAAAAAATGTTAATAAAGAACTGCTTTTAGTTGAAGATGCAGAATCTGATGTCTCATATGCAATTCAAAATGAAGTTTTACCATTGACTCCATCAACTGAGTCACATGTTGCAAAAGAACCTATCAAATTTAGTGAAATTTGTTCGAGATCTAGTAATCAGTAAGTTTATTTAACTTAATTTAGTTTGTTTTCTTAATGCATAATAATTAAAATGTTTTGCAAAGTTTTTATTTGCATCTTTGAGAATTATTGCTGTGCAAATTTAGGATAATTTTGTATCATCCTAAAATAATTAAAAAGAAGACAAAATAATTTACTCACCAGTTGTATCATTTTAAAATGTAGTTAAAAAAAAAAACATATCATATGCATTTCTTAGTAACTATTCTTTTATCTTGTATAATAATAATAATTAATAAACTAATATATTGGATGATGACAATATTTTTGCAGAAATCTCAATACATTAGTGGAATGTACAGATTGGTCCTATATTAATAAAGTCCAACCATTTCATGTGAATATATCATCAAACGCAAAATTATTACTAGATTTTCACTGCCATCTGATGAGTTCAGAAGTCGTTGGGTATCTTGCTGGAAATTGGGATTTTTCTACACAAAGTTTGTGTTTATTAATTTATTTTATATGGATATTTTTTTTCAATGTTTACATTTCATAGCACTGACTGTGAAAAACGCATACCCATTCAGAAGTCGTCTACATGATGCTGAACTCACGTCATTGATCGAAGAAGAAATACGAAACACTTTTACAGCTAAAAACATGGTGCTAGTTGGATGGTATCATTCGCATCCTGAAACGATCGCTACACCCACATTAAGAGATATCGAAGCCCAACTCGATTATGAAGTACAAATAAAAGGACCAACCGTCGAATCGTACATTCCATGTGTCGGAATCATTTGTTGTAAGACATTTTTTACTGTTCAGTTATTATTTTGAAAAATGATTGATTTAATTCTATAAAAATTGATTTAGCTCCTTACGACAAAGGCAAATCGACCCTTGATTCAACTATCACTTGTTATTGGGTACTACCATCGTTTGAAAATGAAATACACGATTATGGACGTCCAATGAACATGCATTTTACTACTAAACCAGAAAAATCATTAACACTAGATATTGTTATGGCATTAGTAAGTTGTATCCAAACAACCCTAAATTTAAATATATTGCTTTAAATGCTGTAGGCTGTCATTATAATCATATACCACTATTTATAGAAATACTCGTTCGTTTCTTTTTTTCAGAAAAAATGTGTTGATTTCAATAAATATGAACCGGATGTAATTAATTTTAAAGACAAATACAAAAACGATGTGACTTATTTGGAAAAACTTAAGGTACACATTTTATTAAATTGTTAAAAAATTATAAATAATATTATTCAATGTGTTTTTCTTTAGATTTCGTTGATGGATAAATTTCCAAAAGATGATACAATACATAGATTTTTATGGAATTTCTTAAGTGAAATAGTTTGTATTGGTAGTTCAGGCGATACTGCCAAAAATAATTTGCAAAATTTGATTGCTGTAATCTCATCACGTCAACTCTTACTGTCAACTTCAAGTTTTCAAACACCTAATGCTTTGGTTGAACATTTAGAGTCTTATTTGAAATCATGTAATGCTAACAGTTTGACGTTAGAAGATGTTCCTACAACTAGTGATGGGTCAAACATAACCTCAGCGAGTATCGCCAGTTCTCTATTTAACGATTTAGACTTTTCTAAAGCAATGTCTTTGATAGGACTATCTCCGTCACGGTATCAAACCGATCCTTTGAAATAGGTTTACAACTTTTAAATTATTAAATTTAATTTTTGTAGTCATTGATACATATATTAGAAATATATATGTATATTATATTATTATGTAATAATAAATATACTTTTAAACTAACTAAATATCAATAGATACATAAATATTTAAATAAGAACTATTTTTTATTATGTCAACAAATATTGAATTGTATAATATAAAAATCAGTTTTTGAACATTAAACGATTACATTTAAATATAATTTAACTATTGCATTGTTTTTCTTGGAACTTTAAAGTTTTAAAAATTCACAATGTTGAAATACAGTGAAAATTGGTTTTAAAAAAAAAGTTAAGAAATTTAAACTTATTGGTTATTAATTATTAGATTTTTTGTTTTAAAATTATGATTAAAAGAGATCTAAATATTTCAGTTGTTTTTTTTTTTTTTTGTTATAACCAGGATTCTATGATTAAATAATTTTGTTATAAATGACCCTTACAATGTCATACAATCCAATTTTACTAAAACTTATAAACATTTGTAATAATTGACTATTTTATTATTATTTTTTAATGTTTATTGTTTTGTAATAACTAAATGTGCCGAATAATAGTATGTGTTTTTAAATGTTTGATACAAATAAACATATTTTTTTTTTATTTAATTTTTCATACATTTAGTAATATTTTGCTACAATTTAAGTAAAATTTCACAACTCATAAGCTAGTTGAGATTTTTCATTGGGTGTGTGGGGTCTTGTAAATTAATTAAGATTTTCTTTTTATAATAATAGCCAGTTAGCCCCCCTCCCCTGAATACCCCACTGATCTACATAATCTTGTCAATATTTACTATGTAGGTATAATACATAAAAGCTATGGCTGTACACTTTCACTGGGGATACTGTTTCAGTTTGTATAAAGGGGTTCAAATATTTTATGATGAGAATTCTTCCCCCTCAACAGTCCAATTATTGTTAAAAATAATTTCACATATTTTTATTACATTTTTTTTCTTGAAATTAAACATAATAATATTAATAGGTCTATGAATAAAACATTCTTTGAGACTTGATACTTACCAGTGTTGTGTAGTAACGTAACAAAAGTAACACGTTACTTTGCATGTAACGCGTTACTTAATTTCCAAGTAACGGAATTGTAATGGAAATTACTTTTGAAAAGTAATATAAATAGAATAACGCGTTACAGTAACGAATTATTAAGTACCTACCTACCTATTACGAATTGGCAAAAAAATACATGTATAAAGCGGGTATTATTATGTTTACCAATCTAATATGTATATATATTTAATTTTAACTCTCCACAATTCAGTTTTTAATAATTTTGACATTTGAAATGTCTAATTGCACCGTAAATCACAAGAACAGTTAATTAAATTTACTATTGAATTTGATTCCTTTAAATAGGTTTCCTATGAATAGCTTGTGTGGAAGACTAAGTTTTATACAAAACTATACAGGTTTTATATAGAAATTGGTTGTTGAATGTGCTTGCAGAAGATAATTGACAAGAAATTAATTTCTTTTTTTTTGTAAAGAGAAAGTAATGAGGTACTTTTCTATTTGAAAAGTAAAGTAATTTCATAACAGTTTTATTTGAGTAACAATTAAAGTAACTTAATGACATGTATCTCTTAATAACGAGTAATGTAACTTAATTACTTTTTAAAAGTAACTTACCCAACACTGATACTTACCTAAAACGAGAATAAAAAAGGTGGGCAAGTGGATGTCGCTCTGCTGTACAGTTGTAGGTTACAAGTGGGTCACTGTATAATGGATGCTTTTAAATTTGAATTCAATGATATAATATCATTGTATAAGAAAAACGATTCTGAGCGAAGACGGTATGTCAGTCTAGGTTTAAGACAAATTCTATACATATCGATGGTATTAAAAAAAAATTGACCTATAATAAATTCCAAATTATCATAATATCCATTAGGTACTTATAACACGTTATACATCAACATCAATAACAAACCCTGATACTATCATAGATATATAATAGTACACTTTAGAAGTTTCAAGTAGGTACCCACGAATAATATTATATAATCACAACAAAATAACTATGTTTTTTAATATGTAATTTCGTCCAAATTTGAACATAAAATGACTATAAAAATAAACTGTGATTTTATATTTTTTAGATTTTTTGGTAAGAGAATTAACTACTTACGTGGAATCTTGTTTTAAATTTTCAATCCTTAGCTACAAAAACTGAACATTTTATAATTTATTAATTACGATGATTAATAATTTTCGAGATTTTGAAAAATGCTGTCAAAATTCGATGTTTAAATGCTTATAAAAAAAAATTGTGCCTATTAATTTCACTATATTACAATATATCAGGAGCCTTGTATTAAATTTTTACACTTTTTGGCCCAACAGATAAAACTTTATTGATATTCATAGAAAAAAAAACTAAAAAAATTGAAAAATGAAAATATCCGTAACAGCTCAAAAAGAGTCAAAATATTTTCAAAATTGTATGGTGTATAGGGAATGCTAATGTTAACATTCAGTGAAATTGTCATGTAGGTATCTATAGTTATTCGTTTATGAATAACAACAAAATAAGGAAATCGCTACATGAGAAATCAAGTGAACATTCAATGTTGTAAAAATTTGAATTTCAAACGCTCATAAAAATTTAATTTGACTGTCCGGTAGAGATTTTTTTAATGATAAAGGTAGACATACTTATGAGTAATCTTGTATTACATTTTCAAATCTTAGATTTAAAAAGAAAAATTTTTACGAATTCTTAACTCAAAATAATTTGCTAATTTTCGTGATTTTTCCATATTTTGTCAATTTTTGAACTTTAAATGCTTATAAAAAAAAACTGTGATGAACGATTTTTAATATTTTTCATCTGCCTTTGAAACAATATACTAGGAGTCTTCTATTAAATTTTCAAGTTTTTTTAACCAACAAATAACATTTTATTGATATTTCTAGAAAAAAAACTAAAAACATAGGAAAAATGAAAATGTCCCTAAACAGTTCAAAATAAATCAAAATATTTTGAAAATGTTATCGTGTATAGAAAATGCAAATATAAACAACCAGTGAAAATTTCATGTATCTACGTTCATTTTTTTTTAAAGTTACACCAAATCCAAATTCAATTTTCTGAAAAATCGATTTTGCGTAAAAATTCTCGTTTATCCTTAATTTTTCTTTTGTTTTTCTTGGCGCTTTTGAAAAGTACTGGGAATTTTAAATTTTGACCTCCCCAATGCACCAACGATATTCACTTTCCAATCGAACAAGATACTGAAGTCGAAAATCGAAGCATAATTTCAACTACTTATCGTGTACACAGACACAAAAAAAAAAAAAATAAAAAAAACACACACTATTGTAAAAATCAATACATTCATCGTTCCACTCAGAATCTAAAACACACACCATTGTAAAATCAATACATTCATCGTTTCACTCAGAATCTAAAAGTAATTATTTATGATTAGCAATTTAACATATATAAACAACAATAAACCATAATAGTTATTACTATTATTTTATTCGTAATATCAAAATTGAACCAAATGTAGGAAAAAAAATTTAATAGATATTCTATCTTGAACGCCAAGACCAAAGTATTGACCAACAAAATCATCAGTCAACACCTAATTTAGGATAAAAATTGCAAAAAATTGCACACATATATTACCTGGTTGAATACCTATCAACTTTTTGATTATTATTAGTTAATTTCTATTGTTAGTTCATAGTTGTTACAAAAATTGTTTAACACAATGAATGATAAAAAAAAATATACACGAGTGTAGGTTTCTGCATAAAGAAAAGAAAAATTAATGGACTACTGCGTTCCCAGAGATAACTGTCTATTTTACCAAGTATAATATTACATTCATGTACATTTTCAATTTTTCACTATGTAGGTGTGTGACGCTGGTACCCGCAAGTTTGAAATTCAACTCAAAAACCACACCAGTACCTAATTGTTATACATTTTGTACACCAATTGCCTTGATTGAATATAACGAATATTAAAAGGAATAAAAAATCTATATAGAATAAAATATTGATATTGAGTAAGCAATCTATATTTAATAAAAAATTGTGTATTCAATAAATAAAACTTTGATTGAATAAAACAAATCTTAATAGAAGAAAAAATTTGATAAGAAATCTAAATTTGATAAAAATGTATGGTTAACGGAAAAAAAGTCTGGCGGAAAAAAGTCCTGGAAAAAAAGTCTCAAGAAAAATTTTCTTTAATGTTTTTTAATAAATTAAGTTTTTTTTTATCGAATATAGTTATCTATTATATTTACCTATTTTATTATGTACAGATATTTTATTTAATTTTGTTTTTTATAAAGATTTTTTTTATTTCTATTTTGATTTGTTCTATTCAATCAAGGTTTTTTTTTATTGAATATAACTTTTAGATTCTGAGTGAAACGATGAATGTATTGATTTTACAATGATGTGTGTTTTTTTTTTTTTTTTTTTATTTTTTTATTTTTGTGTCTGTGTACACGATAAGTAGTCGAAATAATGCTTCGATTTTCGACTTCAGTATCTTGTTCGATTGGAAAGTGAATATCGTTGGTGCATTGGGGAGGTCAAAATTTAAAATAGTTTTCACAAGCGCCGGGAAAAACAACATAAAAATTAAGGAAAAACGGGAATTTTTACGCAAAATCAGTTTTTGACAAAATCGAATTTGGTTTTTGGTGTAACTTTAAAACAAATGACCGTAGATACATGAAATTTTCACTGGTTGTTTATATTTGCATTTTCTATACACGATAACATTTTCAAAATATTTTGATTTGTTTTGAACTGTTTAGGGACATTTTCATTTTCCATTTTTTTTTAGTTTTTTTTCTTTGTTGGTTGCGAAAGCTTGAAAATTTAATAGAAGGCTCCTAATATGTTGTTTCAAAGGCAGATGAAAAATATTAAAAATCCTTAGTCACAATTTTTTTTTATAAGCATTTAAAGTTCAAAAATT